CGCCGAACACTGATTTCCTTCAAAATATCTGCAACTTCTTCATACGTCTTACTATCCTTTATCCATTGGGAAATTTTCTCCTCGAAATTTTCCAGCGCCATTTTTGCTTGCAACTCTTCAAGCCCCACCTGAATCACAGTAGATGGGGGTCAGGGTCACACCAGGAATCACACCACACATGAATTATGCCCAGGTAACACTTCTTCGTGTACGGCATGGTCCCCCTCCACCCCCTTGCCCACCGCCACAAAATGCACTACGGACTGTTAACTATTCATGACACTGAAATAAAAAAAACAGTCTGTACTCCATACTCACCGTTTCGCTGTTTTTCAAAGTTATTTGTGTAAAACTGTAAAACAAAAACATTGGTCGTTATGCTGTAATAAAATTTACTAAACTGATAAAACGGAATATCCGTGTTTATCTTAATACAGTTTGACCGTTTTACAAAACTGAAAAACGACATATTGGTGGTATTGCGCATGCTCATGCATAGATAATAAGGAGAGGGACCGGTCAAGTGAGAGGGTTTAACCAATAAAAGGGGAAAAGAGTCTACAAGTCTGATTTTCATATGACACCGGTAAAGATTTCTTTTGTTGAATACTGTTGGCCCCTTTATATGTCTTTGAGAGGGAGGGGGAATTCATCATGTTGTCCCTTAACCGTCAACAATTAATTCTTTTAAAATTTTAATATAAGAGGTATTCATACGTACATTATGTGGGGGTTGCCACTACCATGACTACCCAACTACCGACCACATGCATCTACATAAAATTTGTTTATTATTGCCATGTGAATCTAAAATCACGTAAATCAATTTGTTTTAAGTGATGAAATAATATACTTTTTTATAGCAGCTTACTGGCAAAGACCATCCATGTCTACCGGTAGTTTAATGCACATGTACAGGGTACATGCACTGCACTGCACACGTAACATTGAGAGCTGACATAAAAGTGACTGAATGTGAATCATGACTCTGTGAAGCCACAGGGTACTCACAAGTTTTTCATTACGTTTTATGATGTACATGTACATGACTTGTACATTATTTTAGATCTATATTTTGTCTTGCCTGTTCTAAATGATTTAAACTTAATTGGGACAAATTGAAGACCAGATGTGGAAGGGCAGGAAAAGTAGTCAATATGATTGCATACATTGTAGTCTGCAATGGGCAATGTCTTTACGATGTTCATACATGTAGCCACCCAAACCTTTAAAAGGGGGCTTTTGTTACGGAGTTGGTGGGTATCGGGCCTATTATAATTGAATATTTAACAGTAACAAGGTGTGACTTAATAAACTTCAAACTATTAAAGCTGTATATACAATGTAAATTATCCACGAATGTGCCTGTAAATTATCCACGAATGTGCCTGTAAATAAACATTGGTTACAAGTTGCCAAAAAAAACCCAGGCAGACAGGTATTCAAGATGAACTGGCATGATTATTCAGGGAAAAAAATTACATGCAAATACATAAGGCCAAAAAAAAAGTCTCCGGTTTCTGGTATGCGCGCGGGTCGCCGTAGCCATGCGCGTCGGCAAAATGAGAAAGTTTTTTTTTTATGAAAGATGATGTCTCAAAACCGCCAAACTCACTGGTTTGACTGGAATCCTGCTGCTGCACAATTTTAACGTGTTTTTACATGTAGATTGGGTTATGGTCGAGAATAACAGTGGCCTCTCTGGACTCCCATATAATTGCACTAAGTTTAGTCGGGCACCATTTGCAGTCATCAGCCGACATTTGAAGCAAAAAAATTGGGTAAAAAAAAAAACAGCCGCGTCGCCGCACCACTTTTTGGGCAAGCTTCATACCAGAAACCGGAGACTTTTTTTTTTGGCCTAAGGGTCATTCCATGTCAGACCAACGCACTTTTTTACCTCATGTCTTCTGATTTTGATAAAAATTGCTGTGCTTGTAGGTCCTGATGAGCAATGAATGCACACCAATTTTTAGCCCGATCCGACCTACCATGTGGTCAGGGCAGAAACCACAAAAACCAGACATTTTTGGAGTAAAATACCACCCTTTTGGTAGAAATATGTCAAAATTATGTCAATTTTCATCGAATATATGCGAATTTGGTATTAAAATAATAAGAATTGCATGCTCAAATCAACTCTTTTTTTCAAAATTAAATTTTGTGAAAAGGAGGTCACGTGACCTTTAATATATTATCGTGACCTTTGACCCAATTTATGTACTAATGTATCATTCCGAAAATCAACGAAATGAAAATGAATTGATAGAGCATGTCTTCCTCTATCAGAATCTACTAAAAATCAATTGGGGTCTTCAAAATTTACAACTTTATGACTATAGACTTTACATTAGAAATCCACCCACACAACTTACTATTCTGTTTCTAAAGCTACTTAAATTAATCTTGGTTTGCGAATGTCTCATGTTTAGGGCTGATGAGGTCTAACCAGACTCCAAATATAAATTATCAGCAGTGGCGCATCCAGGAATTGGCTGGGGGGGGGGGCTCATAGCTTTTTGTTGTCAAATTTCTGTAGAAGATTGAAAAAAAATCAAACAAACAATTGAAAACCTTGGAGGGGGTGGGTTCTATCCCATCGACCCCCCTCCCCACTCCCCCCCCCCCCCCCCCGGTGCGAATGATAATTAGTTATCCCACAAGCGCGCTTGGAATATTGGAATATGAAACAATGCAATACTGCTGTGACCCATATGCCGCCCGACGCACTACAATATTCCGTGTTCTACGAGCCATAACGAATTTATCTTCAAGCAAACTTGACGTCGAATGCGTACATTGTACGTGGTGAGGGATGTAGGTGTATAGTGTATCGGACCGTTCAGCAGCAAATAAAAAGAACACATACATTCGATATCTGGGGTGCAATATAGCTGTGCAATATTATATCAAATCACACTGTTGTTGCTATAGATGGACTAATCAGGGTCTAGGATTCAAGTTTGCTTGAAGATAATACTCAATATCGCAATAAAAGTTACTTTACTCATTCATCACTGTGCTTCTTGAAATTTAATGAGTCTCAAAGACTTGGCAATTTTTTCCTTCGAGACAGATTTCACCGGGATGTGTGTCCGCTGTACTGGGTCCGGGTAGAAAGCATAGAGCTGTTGCGTACCCTAAACAGTAACTGCTAATGACAATCGACTCTCAAGCATTCGACGTCAAGTTTGCTTGAAGATAAATTCGTTAGCCCACTTGCGCTTGTGGAACACGGAATAATGTGGATTGGGATAACTAATTATCAATGGCACGGGGTGGGGGGGGGGCCCTCAGGGAGCTGGAACCCACCCCCCCCCCCCCCCCTCCAAGGTTGCCAATTTGTTTGTTTGATTTTTGGTTTTTTTTTTTTCAATCTTCTACAGAAATTTGAAAACAAACAATTTAGGACCCCCCCCCCCCCCCCCCCCCCCCCCCCCCCCACACACACAAAGCAAAATCCTGGGTGCGCCACTGCTGATAATTTATAATATGAGTCTGGTAAGACCTCATCAGCCCTTAACATGAGAAATTCCCAAACCAAGATTAATTTAAGTAGCTTTAGAAACAGAATAGTAAGTTGTGTGGGTGGATTTCTAATGTAAAGTCTATAAATTGACCCATTTGTAACCTACCAACTACACAAAAATAGTCATAAAGTTGTAAATTTTGAAGACCCCAATTGATTTTTAGTAGATTCTGATAGCGGAAGACATGTTCTATCAAGTCATTTTAATTTCGTTGATTTTCGGAATGATACATTAGTACATAAATTGGGTCAAAGGTCACGATAACATATTAAAGGTCACGTGACCTCCTTTTCATAAACTATAATTTTGACAAAAGGGTTCATTTGAGCATGCAATTCTTATTATTTTGATACCAAATTCGTATATATTCGATGAAAATTGACATGGTTTTGACATATTTCTAACAAAAGGGTGGTATTTTACTCTAAAAATGTCCATTTTTCATGGTTTCTGCCCTGACCACATGGTAGGTCGGATCAGGCTAAAAATTGGTGTGCATTCATTGCTCATCAGGACCTACAAGCACAGCAATTTAATCAAAATCGGAAGACATGAGGTAAAAAAGTGCGTTGGTCTGACATGGAATGACCCCTAATTAACATAACAACAGTCATACTGACTGTGTGCAGCAGACATACTGAGTTTGTGCAGAAATCATTAACTTAGAACTATTTACAGGTATGTCAAAATATCATTTCCCTGGTACTAAGTTAGTTGATACCTGGTATGTCCGTGTATTATGAATATGTATGTACATGTATGCAATTTGAGTCACATGATAGTCTGCTCCAGACAAGAAACACAATAAAGGGGCCACTTTGCATCTGTCACGTTAGCAGTTTTTCCCAATGGCTGTTACATTTTGCTTACAGTACCTGAAACCAGCCAAAAGTTTTTGAAATATGATTAGACATGTACCGGGTAGGCTTATAATGCATGTGTCGAATTATTTCTTCTTCTTTTTATTTTTAAAATCACCCTCAAATTTCTGTGGACGGAAAAAGTTACCTAAGTTTTCAATCCACTTTTCAATGGAAAATGTAAAAAAAAGCGATATATAAATAATCAACTCAAATTATCTTTTCGCAAAGGGCTGCATGTCTATTCATCATGTGTTGAAATTCTTCTTTGATGGTTTCAGGCATTTAACAAAAAAAATCACAACCTTTGGAAAAACTGCTAACGTGACGGTAAATAAGTGGCACTCTTTACTGTGTTTCTTTTCTCCAGTTGGCGGTCTCTGTTAAATCCAATATGCTGATCTTTCTGGACAAATTCTGTGGATAATCACAGCCTCACAGGCTTATTTATCTGCGGGCTGATTTTAAATGAAGGGTACATGTACCAAAATGCATTATCTGGTATGTTTTAGTTGTGGTTTTGGGCAAGGAGACAAAATGAAGGGGGTGGGGGACTTGGTTTAGCCACTGTTTTTAAGTCAAGACTAGCTAGATCTAAGAAATCACTTACCTTTTGTTTCACACAAAGGTTTCTCAAATCCCGTAGGGCACTCGCATGTAGCTGTTATCCCATCACTCATAACTGAACAAGTTCCGCCATTATAACAAGGATTTGGATCACATGGATCTGGGAAGATTAAAAATTTACGAAATAAACATTCAAAACAAATCATAAGACTGTTTCATATTAAACAGGGATGGGGTGGGGCAAAGTTTTTGTTCCTATTTTTTAAAATAAATACCCACTGTACACACTGCAAAGACTAAATTCCACGTGTTGTTGTTGTTGAACCTTAGAGAAAAGAGCATAACCAAAAGAAAAGGGCAACAGGAGGCATATATGATGTACATGTAAGTACCCGTATTGAGGTGGGGATTGGGCTGGGGTTGGTGGAGTACCAGGGTGGAAAAAAGGACACAAGGTTAAGCAGTCAACATTGCTATGGGAAAGCTCCAAGTACGGGTACCTATTTCGGAAACTACTTAAGTGCCAGAATATTATCTACACGTACCAACGATGAGTGTTACACTGATCATGACTCCTGGATCATCCTCATAGTTGACAGCTTTACACTTCAATTCCTGACCACCGTACTCTCGCTTCGGTTCCAAAGTCACATTACTTGAACTGGTTGTAAGACTGTCTGCGCCAACATCATGTACAGGATTTGAGATTAATCCCGAGTCCACTGGATTACCATCAAGAGTCCACGTGAAAGTTGCTTCTGGGTTGATATTCTGTACTTGGCAAGTGAAGATGTGTTCTGAAACTTCACTGCTGAGTTTGACCACACTTCCATTGGTAAATGTGCCTCCACTTGCATTGAATAGTGTAACTAACGCGGCTGGGACTGTAGTGGAGATTTTTAAAAAAAAAAAAGCATAGCGTAAACTGGGGTGAAACGCCAATTGTTTAGGTTTTTGTTGAATATCTCAGTACTATTTGGAGACACTGCGAATGTGGTTTTATGCAATACATGTCTCCTCTATCAGGTGCAAATATAATATCATGGTCATTATATTGATAAGGGTAAATTTTTCCCCCTTTTAGGGAGGAAGTTTGGCAGGTTTTTTTTACCCGGGCCTTGGGGTAAAAACATCCCGCCCACATATATAAAAAAATATGGATAGATATACATGTGTACCACAGGTTTCCCTGTGGTATAGTCCTATTTTTGTGATTAATTTAATATTGAGGGATACTTCATCAGGTACAAATAATTTTTCAAACACAGCTGGTTAATTATAACTACAAACTTGATCATTTGAAACAGGTATTTTTATGTGGAAGGAAGTGGAACATTCACATACATAATTCGCCCATAACAAACTTGTAGGCTTACAAATGTATGTAAAATACCTGCCAATATTGAATAATCTATTGCAATCATGTTGAGCCAAAGCATTAGGCATACCATATGTTTCTAGCCTACTGTTGATAACCTAAGGCTTTATCAAAGGAGAACTTTTAAGAGACAGATTTCTTGTATTAGAGAAAAGAAACACATTCATGGAGAAAAGATTTGAGGATTTGCATGGTGGAGATAGGCCTACTAAAAAAAGAAGGGTTTGCGGAGACACCATGTGCGAATAATTTCTTAACTAGAGAATGGTTCTGAATTAGTCTTCAAGATAATCTACACCACACATCAAAACCAAACAGCTAACAAAAGCATTGCTGAAAGACTGGCATTTAATTTAGGAACACCCAAAATTATGCAATCTGTTTCCAAACGATGCCTATAAAACAGCCAGAAGTCTGAAAGGTTTACTTGTCAAATAAATGTTTATCGATAACTGGGAATTGAACTCACCACAAGGTTGACACAAAATTGTATTAGATGCACTTACATATGTACCAGTATCTATGCACTCTAACATTTGATACGACTTTAGCCGAATATTGGCTTACTACTGATCTAGTAAACTGGTCTAGTTGGGTCTTAGAACCATTTCTAGTCATTTTTACTTATTAAAAGTACACTGAATGGTTCTATTTTCTTCAGTTTTTTCCTAAACCTTGGTAAGTTGAAAGTGACCAGGTCAAGACAAGACAAAAGATGATATCTTTTTTATTTGAGAAAAAAAAATAACCTTTTTGTGTGTGATATACTGGTACATGTACCTGGGTTACTCCATGAAGTTGGAACAATAGCTGATAATGCTGAAATTACACTCTTTGTTATCAATTTGTAAAAAATTTAGTCTTTCAAATCCTTCAAAGTAACATTTTCCTCAAAGGATATGATGTAAATTTAAAAAATACAATCAAACTAGGACTGTATCTGCCCTCAAATAATTTTTATTGGGCAAAATGTGTGCAAAAACCACTAAAAATGTCAGTAAAAAGTGTGACATTTAAATTAACAGAAACATGTTTTTATTTTTGTTGTTTTGTTGCAAAAATGCCAACTGATCAATCCTAAGTAATTTACTATTAGATTAAAGTCATATTCACCCATATCTATGCATAAAATTGTACAAAAGCTGCTCATGTTGATATTACATGCATGTGAAAATTCTGTTACCTATGCTACATTTGGTGTACGCACTTTTTGTGTCCTGTAGCATAGGTACTAAGGCTTGCTATCTCCATACAGTACACTGTATCTGAAAGATTTTGATTTTAATATGTTCAACTCACTCCAAGTTGAGTTTTAAAAAAGTTGAATTCTCCAAACTTGCTGCTGTTTATAAGATGCAAGAAGAAAAAGTATCATTTTTTGAAATGGTGTCCATGTAGCATCGGTATTTTCAAACTAAAGAAACCCCTCAAGCTTAAATACCTCCACACATACTGACACATCTTAACCTTTGGTAAATAGTAACTGGATTGATATTCAAAATAAAACATGCTTTGCAAAATTGTTCTTCAGCAATGAAGATCTATGTTCCAAAATATAGCGTGGTGTCCACATGTACATGTAGCATACATGTAGGTAGAAAATGTAGCATAGGTAAGAGAGTATTCCTTTAGTTGTGAAGCTATGATTGTAGACAAATTATTTTTTTAATGTTAGAACCAAGAGAGTGGTTAATTACAATAAATTAATAACAATCAGATACAGATGAACTCTATTTTACATAAGGGTTTGCTCCTCTAAAGTGAAAATTTATAAATAGGACACGATGTCCATGTAGCATACTGTAGGTATTGTTCCACACTCTATAATTCATGCATACATCCAAATTATGTATCCAAAATTCAGCTTCTGTATTCGGTTTGCATGTCCACTGCCATAAAACATGATTTAGCCATTTTTTTGCTTAATTTTCAGTTAATTACTGGATGAATTGTGCTGTTTTCTACCTATGCTACAGGACACGGTGTCCATGTAGCATAGCTAAAATTGACACATTGTCTGATTGTCAGCCATATTTCTCAGCACGACGAGCAAAGGCATACATTTTGAACATCATTTTAGAAAAGTGGTTCACTGACTGTGTCATTTAAGTCAAACTTTTACTCATAAATGCTATTTTAGATCTCTTCCAGCTGATTTGGTTACTTTCTCCAAACAAGCACAATTTTGTCAAAATTACACAAAAAGCCTCAATTTACAATGGGTTGTATCAACTTTTTTTTAGCATCTGCTGAACCATTTGTTTTTTCCTTTGATTATACCCTAAAAGTTAATCTTAAACAACAAGAAAATTGACAAATAACCTAACCCATTAAAAAATGTTCAGAGCAATTGTTTAGATTTGGTGTCCATGTAGCATCGGTATTTTGAATTTCACATCATGAATAAAAAGATCAACCACAAATTCAGTTTTATGTTTTGGGGAAAAAACATACTACATTGTATTTCCTAAAAATATAGTAGTTGAGCTATCAAAAACAATATTCAGATCAACATTTGGGAACTTTGACCCAATGTCACACTTTTTGCCCGAACTTCATGGAGTAACCCACCTACATTTTTGCATGTAACGTGGATCAGACACACTGCAAGGAAAGCGGTGCTTAGGAACATTCGATTTCTAATAGGCACTTCCATTGACATTATTAAGCCATTTTACATTGTTATCAAGCAAAAATATACATTATTAGTTATCTTGCGAGCGCAAGTGGAACACGGAATAATGTAGTGCGTCTGTGTCCCACATACCACGAGGCCGAAGGCCGAGTGGTATGTGGGACACAGACGCACTACATTTTCCGTGTTCCACGAGCGCGAGCGCGATAACAAATTTATCTTCAAGCAAACTTGACGCACAGTAAAGTTGGAACACGCATGCTGTGTAACCTACCGTACGCACAACTTTTGAATTCACAGTGAATTGTGCAGCACTAATCGCGTCACGTAGGCTTAGAATAGCACAATAAGCGGAGTGCGGTATGAACCGTGGCCGTGCGGTATGGTTATATGTAGCACGGGTTGTTGCCATGGATCGACCAATCAGAATCGAGGATTCAAGTTTGCTTGAAGATAAGTAACAATATTCACACTGGCTTCAAATTAATAATGTGATTAGGGTTACGTACACATGTATGTACGAACAGGGACAAACATTTTGTGACAAATGTCCAGTCTGTTCGTACGTATAAATCCTGATTATAAAATATCAATTCATAAATACCTCAGACAGTTTAGCTATTCCTATTGGTCGAGAGCCCGTCACGTGGCCGGTCTTAAACGGATGATAAAGACATGGCTAGCTGGTCTTAAACACTTTTCCAGTGTCACAATAAAATGTGGACTCCTAAAAATCCAGTGCCTCTTACCGTTTCATTGGTTGAACGTTCATAATCCTCACGTAGGCATGCGCAACACTACAAGCGAGTCAGAATTTTATTGTTCTAAATTCAAAATGCAACGCCCCAGGTGCGTTCTGCGTGACATCGCGCAGAACATGTTACGCGCGCGTCAATCTCCATAAAAGGGTTGTTTACATCTTACTCGCCAGCTGAACACTCCATTATTTTGCTAGAGGGATGTTTCAAAAAGCATGAAGTGAACTTCATTTGAAGTGAACTTCAAGCATTTTTCGAACGAATTATTTGATATTTTTTTACGGATAAGGTATTTATGAATGGGAATAAATATGTGCTCGGTCGGTATTTATCACTCTGTTTAATACCGTTTAGAGTCTGGGTGCTGATAATTACCCGAGCCGGAGGCGAGGGTAATTATCAGCACCCAGACTCTAAGCGGTATTAAACGAGTGATAAAAACCTCCGGAGCACACATTTATTCCCTTAATAATTCTTCACACTGACTCCGAGTTTTCTAGGTTTAAACCAATAGCATTCCTCCAGGCAGTTGTAATAGATCATGGCGAAAGGCCACATCTTGACCTCTAGATTGTGACAAATCAGCGGGCGCTTTCTACAAATGTGTATACATGTATACCCTAGACACAGCACCAAAAAAGGCTGTGGTCACGCACTCTGTATTATGTTACACAATACGTGCCTGGCTGTTGTTGTATAATTACAAAACACTGCATTCTAATTGACCAATCACACGTTTAGTCCTGATCTGGGAATAAAATGACGTCATGATTTAGTAAAGTCGACTCCCATTTGCTGAGGCGCAAATCGCATAAATCTGCATGCTTTGACATACATCAGATGTTATACAGGAGACTTGGTTCCGTGGATAGCGGGTGATACTCAGACTATCCTCCAGGGTACATTTACATCTTAAAATAAGTCAACAATAGGGGATCATTAAATTGTATGCTTACTTTGTGACTTTATCTAAAATGTCTGTCCTTCGTTACGTACGCGTAACACTTTTTAAAACAATATTTAAAACTATAGGCCCATTTTCTAAAATGCAAAACCAGTTATATCATTTGCAGGTGAGGATATTCATTGAAGAGCCCTTGCAATGTTTACAGCAAGATAATTGAAGAGACCAAAATCGTAGTTTTATCATTAAAACTTTATACACATACACATGTACGGTAGGTCTTCTCAAATGTCACACTTTTCACGCATTCATTATTTACATGTCATGCATGTAGAAAGTGGTTGGGAAGCACACAAATAAACCAACTTACCAACAACTAGCAAAGAGGAAGTGTTTTGCTTGTTTGGTGTTTGTGAACCAGAGACATATGTCACTCTACACCCGTAAGTTCCTTGGTCTCTAGGGAACTCCAAAGATGACAGAACAAGCTCACTGTTGCTACTGGTCCTTGTAGCACTGCAGCGACCAGCAGGGGTGTTGCAAAAATCATAGTAAGTTGGAGTTGTTGTTTTAAAGAAGTCTGCTATCAGTGTAGATCCAAATGTCCACTCCAGAGTCAAAAACGAAAATGTGGGGTCATCAATCCCGAAGTCGCATCTCAATGTTGCTAAGTCAGTATTGGGGTTGCTGTAAACACTGGACTGCATATTCACTGTGACTGTTTGACCTCTTAAACCTGAAGAACAGCAAATAAAGCCACAATTTTCATGGATGGCTCACTCCATTTGTCCATCACTGCATGTATTATTAAATTATGTACATGTACATTGTACACACTGTGGGTGACATTTTGATTTAAAGGGACACTGCGTCCTGGAATGAGCCCAACTGGGCTACAAAATGTACTTTGAACGAAATGCTGTTAGTTGGTTAGAACATATTAGGCAAAAATTAAAAAAAAACAGTTTTGCTTCCGATCCTTTGGAGGTGTCTGCGTGTAGTCAAGCGTAAAAGGTAGATATTTATGGTTTTTGATGTTTTTTCCTCATTTTTCCCATTAAAAAATTAGGGTAGGGGCCGTCAGAATAAGGTACGGTACCTGGTAGGTACATGTACATGTAGGGAAACCGGAAGCAGAAATATTTGTGTTTTGGCCTTATCTACACATCTGTCCTTAGACGTTTTTTTTTTGTTCTTGTGTTATCAGAGCTGCCAATATTTGCATCTTGCAATCAGGGAGATTTCAGGGAGATTTTGTACAACAATCAGGGAGATATTTATAATTATATTCAATATACATGTAATAGGGAAAAAAGTTTCCATAATCAGGGAGATTTTCAAATTTGTTCATCAGAACATGAAAAGATTAGTTTATTTTCAGGGAACTTTCTGCAGAATCATTATCAGGGAGAGTTGGCAGCTCTGTGTTACACATGCGAGAAAAACTTTCGAGATTCACTTTTGTGACCACAAAAAGTTTAGCTGTTCATGCTAGTTGTGCACAATTTGTACTGGTAGTGTTCACCTTTTGTTGACGTGTAAGAAATTACATTTGTGCATTGGTGCATGCTGTGTGTAATTTTATATGACAATACACTAACGTATATGTATGTATCGCACATTGACAACAAGAAAACTTCAAAGAAAAACGTCTGCGTACTCTGTCGTGCCTGATGTAGGCCTATGAACAACCAGGTTTTCCATTGGTCTTTTCTTGGGGCAATAGTAAGACATTGGATTGGTTTCCTTTCAACCAGATGTTGGAAAAAGGAAAAGTGTGGGGGGAGTGGGTCTAAACAATCCAAAACAATACAATTTGGTGGATTTCAGGACACAGTACTACCCCTTTAATTTCAAATGAGCCCCACTCCAAATTTAATCAGTCTTAGCCTGAATTCACAAACTGTTTCCATGTACATACTGGTACATATCTTCAAAGATGAAAATCACAGTCTAACAAATTAGTCAAAGTTCTCCCAACATGGGCAATACCGGTACAGTATTGAGGATGTATGATGTAACGCATACTATATGTACTCACCAAACAAAAAAGCAGATACGATGACAATTTGAAAAACTGCAAACTCTGCCATTTTTCCTTCCTTGCCCTGTGAAATTTAAACATAATAAATTGGCCAATACATACATTGTACAATGCACGTGTACATCATTACATACCGGTACCACACACATGTACATTCTTGTTCCGTAACTGTAGGGATTACACGTGTTGTTCCATGGTATTATTGGGACCCAAGACACTATGGGGACGGCAGAAAGTCCCCATACCGGTACATGTAACTCAGTCCTACATCTTATTCTCTAACATTGAAACACTACAATAACCATCACCCCATTCATGCCACTGCGGTGACGGCCCTACCACGCGCATGTGTGTAAACACCTTCAACCATGGACCCTCTATTGTCCCTCTTTTGTTTGTACCAATTTTTTTTAAGAAGACCTCCCAAATGTACATGTATGTTTTGTACACGATCGTCAATGGTGGACCTTCGGTCAATTGTGGACCCTATTGTCTGTCCTCTATTGTTAAACGTCCACCGGAAATTTGGATATTTGTGTACATGCGCAGGGAGTCACCCCTATTGTGCCTCTTAAATACTTTAGAAGACAGGTCTCCAATATGTTGTACAGGTACATAGTAGTACACACGCCTCGGAAAGAATACAACCTCATTCCCCAGGGGTACAATCTTGCTCACCATGTTGGTTTCAATCATGCCCGGCACAATTAATCTCAACCCCTTAAATTGTTCAATTTTAATGTGCCATTATTAGGGAGATTTTAATTAGGACTGTGCCCTCTTGTGTGTGCTCTTCACTCGCGTCCGGGTACTTCAGAGAGCTAAAAAGATTTTGGAATGACAGGCAACAACTGCAAATGGTGCACTTTGCCAAAGTTGACGCATGCTCAATAGATGATTAAAGCTCTAGTCTGGTTCCCTTTTGACTACAATGTATTTGAGGGTGGGCTGGGAAACAGTCTGGTAAATATCAGGGACATCATAGGGTACCAAGTGTGACGTCATTTAGAACCAGAAAGTGTAGTGAAAATGAATGGAGTAAGCGTGCGTGTTGGTTTACGGGACGAATCACGCGCCAATGTCTTTTACACACATTTTGTGCGCGTGCTGTATTCACTCCGGTACTCTACATTGTACATGTACCGGTGCATACATATACATATACATGTATGCTGTTTCAAAACCGCCAGAATTCATCGCCGAATTACCATGATTTTTCACAATTAGACCTCTTCAGGTACGATATTCAAGGTTTTTTTTTGTTATAGCAGTCATACTAAAGCTGGGATGATTTTCAAGTGACAAAAGAATTGCGATTGATTTTTGGCTCTCGTAGCAATGGGACTATCCATGCACAGAATATGTACAACTTTTGTGTGACTGATAATACGGAGATATTGTAGTCCAGTATTTCGCACTTAAGGGACTAGGGTAACACTACACAGTTTGCCAAAGTTTAATGAGAATGAAAGTTTCAGATTTGTGTCTGAAAATTTTTCAGATGCCGGACAGGCGTTTTTTTCCTATTGTTCATTATTCATTAATTGAGTGAAAAAATCAATCTCTTGACTGTCTTCTACAGCTTGATGGTGGTGGATGCCATCACACGCAGCGCCACGAGTCTAGTCTAGACCATGACAGCGGGTCCGACACGACAACGGCACAGATAGCAGACCACTAATCGGAACCCGAGATGAAAGTTTCCATTGACCAGTTTACTCAGTGAGTGCCACAATCAAAGGACCAATCAGATCAAGCGATAGAAACAGCGCTTGGTAAATGCAGAATGGAATGGGGACACCAGAGGAAATACATGCGACTCCATGAAATATGGACTCATTGATAGTACTGCGCATGTGATAATTAGGAGAGTGAAACCAGTTGACAGGTGATGTGCGAGGGATTAATCAATAATAGGGATAGGGAGTGCGATTTTCACAGGAGTCCAAGTTGTGGTCTGCTGGCCTCGGTTCCTACATGTACAGTTGTACATTGTACATGTAGTGTGGCATCAAACATGCACACAATACGCCATACATGTACTACCGGTACACTCAGAATACAACTAAAATATGTTTTGGGGTGTTTTTTGTAATTGAGAATAGTAGGCCTATTTATTGAAATAATGAAAGTTTTGCAAAATAATGACACTTTCGAGCAGCTGCCGTGGGGATGTGTGGATGGTGGAAGCAAATTAACCTTCATTCTCAATAATATCAAATCAAATTTATATGCTGAAGGTGTTCTTTGTCACTATTTCTACCATACCTATTTCACGTACTATACCTACATATTTGTATTTCAGGTAGCTCGTTTTTATCTCCATGCATGCACACGTACATACGTGTACTAGTGCGTACGTGTGTGTGCGTGCAAGCATGGGCATGCATGCAGTGCAGTATGCAAAATGGCAATTCGGCGAAGTGGCAATTCGGCGAAGTGGTCAATCGCAGAAGTAGTAATTCGGCGAAATGTGGTAATTCGGCGAAGTGGTAAGTACGGTAGACGAAGTGGTAATTCGGCGAAGTGGTAAATACGTTACACAAAGTGGTAAATAGACGAAGTGGTAAATAGAAGAAGTGGCTGTCGGCAAAGTGGCAGTCGGCGAAGTGGAAATTCGGCAAAGTGGAAATTCGGCGAAGTACTGTAAATAGTGAGTTCAGCGTAAAACGTAAACACAACGAATATAAAAGCGGGTGAAAAATGTTGCTCAAATTCTACTTTTCAATGATTTCTGAAGATACATGTATGGAGGATGTTTTTTTTTTTTTTTTTTCAAATGAAATGGCTAATTGAACCAAATGCTAAGTTTCACACTGTGAAATTTACTTTCCAATTCGCCATACTTCGCCCAAAGTCTTTGGACGTTGCTTTTATGAGCTGCCCCAGAAAGCGGCCATTTTGCTCAATGACATACTGGAAGGATGTCATAAAAGTGCCTTATATGGCCCTTTTCCTTTGACTTTGACTGACCTTATCCCTAACCCCCTAGGCCCTTTTTGCTAAGAACCATCCTCAATCCTCCAAAATCCTCCAATATTTTGAAGCAGCGCTAGCCTTGACCAAGGCTATCAGCTTGTTCCCATACGAGCTCGTTCCCGCTACCGCACACAGCGCACGCCGCGACACACTAGTTGTACTATACTACAGGTATACCGTTAGCCTCAACGACCCTTGCATGTGCTTACACACCACACACACTTCCGCAAACAGCCGTACAGTATGTCGAGGCAAAGGATAGCCTAGACGCAACCGTGTAGGCCCAATATGATAATTAGTACGCGCTATGGTAAATAGTCTTCTCTCATTGGATAATGGCTGACAAAAAAATGAATATTTATTAAATTGCATAATACGACCAAAGGTTTAAAAACCAGACGGCCCTGTGGTAACAAAAATTACTTCAAATCTTAAATAATAGTAGAATAATATTCATATACATGTAGTTAATTACATAGTTTGGGTCGAAAATGAAATGAAAAAGGATGAAAAATTAGACTTTCACAAAACGGTGAACGGTACAAACCGCACGCCGGCGAAAACGATGTCACCGTGCACAGAGATCACAACATACATGTACACACATACATGTATGTTGACAGAGTACGACTAATATACCAACAGGGTACGACATAATGTTGACAGGGTATGACATATCAAACATATGACATAATGTTGACAGGTGCCGGTATACGACATACCGGTATATGTCGCGCGTACGATCTTATATGTCGAGTCGACAGGGTACGATATGTCGCATACGACTTTGTTGTATGTACATGTAAGTACGACTTAATATCTCGTGTATACAACATATGAAATTTAACTCGTCCGTTCGACTTGTTTGTCGATTACATGTATGTCATACATAAGACATACATGTATCTTGTGAGTACGACTTGTATCTCGTACGTACGACATACATGTATTGTAACTCGTATGACTTGTATGTCATACGACTAGGTACGATTTATATGTTATACCTACGACTTGCATGTCGTACATGTAGGTATGACATGTACGTACGCATTAAAATACATATGTTGTACGTACCTACCGGTATGAGATATATGTTGCACATGGTACGAAATTCAGGGAGAGATTTTATTCGCCAAGTCCCTATATAGCCTTGGTCAATGCTCTCGTCGTTATTCGTCCTGTACGTGGTCGTGGTCAATCGTCGGCATATATCCTCACGCGCTATGCACATGCATGTAAAAATACAGCGCGAACAGCGACCTCACGCGGCCACTATTTTATATGCAAATCAGTTGGGGATGATCGAGAGCCTTGGTTCAATCGTCGGCAAAAGCTATGTTTTTCTTTATTTTGCACTGGGTTTCTAGCGCACGACCTCGTATGCGAATACAGATAAGTGTAGGTGGGGCTAATATGTGGAGTGTCCAATCACACCTTGGTAAATCTGGACGTCATCAAATTATTTGCAGCTATTCGCCTTTTGCGGACGTGACAGGAACCACAGTTTTTGTGCATTGGTGCCGTGTGCAGAGACACACAACGTGTACGTGTATGGATTATGTACGGTGCCACGTTTCACTATGCAAGTTTCCACGCAACGATCGACCAATAAGAAAACGACATTTAAGGTCAGCCAAGGCTATTAACATAATGAGCACCACCCCCAAAACCTCACATGGAGGATTGAACCAAGGCTCTCGATCGTCCCCAACTAATTTGCATAAAAAAATAGTGGCCGCATGAGGTCGCTGTTCGCGCTGTATTTTTACATGCATGTGCATTGCCTGTGAGGATATACATGTATGCCGACGATTGACCGCGTATGGGACGAATAACGACGAGAGCATTGACCAAGGCTAGTCCATGACAGTTTAGTATATTTCCATCCCAAAGTCAAAAGCTTGTTTCTTGCAGTTAATTCATACGGCTCAGTGCGACATGACTTTATAGATACGAGTTAACCTGCATTCGATAAAATGTGTACGATTTGACCTGGGTCCGAGTTGACCTGTTCCCTACATTCGCTACGGTCAGAATGTCACGGGCAGGTACGGGTAGTGTACATGTACATGCAACGGAGTCCAG